TACAAAAATGTGTACAAAAAATCTACATATATAAATGCACAACGGCAGTTGAAAATGGCGCAATTGACAATGATCTCCGGAATGTTCTATCGTTTCGATACTATTCTTCTTCCGAAAGTGGATGAAAGCAGCGACTCTTGGTCTGTTATTTCAACAGGTACGTATCAACAATTTCAATCATTTTCACCGATGTATCATAACATAGTTGCAAGAGATTCTCTGACAGAGAGTTCCTAGGGCAAAGTGCTTGTATAATGCCTGCGGTGCAGGACATTTTTTCATTGGCCCAATGCTTCTCTAAAATGGCGTCTGATTTGGCCCAAACCCAGTACAAAATGGAGGTTTAGGAATCAGAAACGTGTTGCTATTTTATGTCGTCTGCTTTGGGAGAATGGCCTGTATTATTGTTGTGAGACTAATAACACATCTTGCATTGCTGTTACAAAATCTATTTCCTGGCAAGTCTTAGAAAAATAATGGCTCGCCTGGGGCGCCCGTCATTAAGCAGTTAATTACACAGCATCTGATTGTACAAAAACCTGAACAGCAGCTTGATGGCACTAATTATTGGACGATTAGACTAATGACTCTTCAGTTTCTTCCCTTTCCTGAGTCCTGAGGCACTCCATTTTTCTCTGAGCTGGCAGGAGGGCTTCCCAGTAGAACAGCTCACTGGTTCTTGCTTGAATGTGAAAACCAGACTAGCAAGACTACTAGTTTGAGAGCCAGTTTGGTGTAGTGGTTAAGTGCGCGGACTCTAATCTGGGAGAACCGGGTTTGATTCCCCCACTCCTCCACTTGCACCTGCTGGATGACCTTGGGCAAGTCGTAGTTCTGATAAGAGCTGTCCTCGAAAAAGAGCCGTTTCTGTCAGAGCTCTCTCAGCCCCCACCTACTTTACAGGGTGTCTGTTTTGGGGAGGGGAAGGGAAAGGAGTTTGTAAGCCACTCTTCCGAGTGAAGGGCAGGGTATAAATCCAATCTCTTCTTCCGGATCTTGCAACCGAGTCACCATGACACACTTTTACACCTTATCACCGATCTACTTTAGGGCAGCGATGAAAGAGCTAGAAGAGATTCTTAAGTGTAAGGACGTGTTGCTGTCAACCAAGATCAAGATACTCCATGCCATAGTATTCCCCCCTACTATGGATGGGTGTGAAAGCTGGACAATGAAGAAAGGTGACAGGAAGAAAGTTGATTTGATATTAGGTGTTGGAGGAAAGTTTTACGGATACTGTGGACCGCCAACCCCCCCACAAATAAGTGGGTTCTAGATCAAATCAAGCCCAAACTCTTCCAAGAAAGGTAAATTACACAACTGAGGCTATCATACTTTAGTCACATTATGAGAAGACAAGACTCACTGGAAAGGACAAGAATGCTAGGAAAAGTTGAAGGCAGCAGGAAAAGAAGACGACTCAATATGAGGTGGATTGACTTGAAAAAGAAAGCCACAATCCTCAGTTTGCGACCTAAGTCAGGCTGTTAATGATAGGGCATTTTGGAGAATGTTAATTCATAGGGTCACCATAAACCGGAAGTGACTTGACAGCACTTGACGTACCCATTTTAGGATCTATCAACTGGGATTTAAACATCACATGTGTCTATATAAATTGAAGGAAGCTCTGCTCTACTTATAAACCTTCCAATTTGTTGAGATCTCCCAATGAGGCACTTTCTAAGTTTCATCTTGGGTAGAAAGAAGATCAACATCCGCTAATGTCAAGCTTCAGTTTCGTTTCTTTATAATTCACTTCCCTGCTTGCCATAGTATTGGGGGGAGGGAATTCCTGAGGGGAGTGTATGGGGTGCCGAGAGTGAATGCTTGTAGTAGCCATAACCATTTCTTTAAGCTGTGCCCCAACACAAGTTCGAGAGCTGACCTTGGAGACTCTTATGCCATGCTAGAATAGATAAGGCACCGTATATCTGTCAGGGTTGCCATAGTGACCTAGGGGCTGGATGATGACGTATGCATGAGATGTGGGGTGTTAATTGCCTTACCTAGAACTGAGGATTTTTCGTGCTTTTTCTCAGTTCTGACACAGAGCATGTTTCCAGAAGTAGGCATATCTCAATAAACGACCACTGCTTAAGTGTGTTGTGGAGAGTGTCTTAACGGGGAGACCTGACAGCTACGAGCAAGGCCTTCACAAATAGCCACTCCGGCACTACGACTCTGGGTCTGAAGGACCAAACGGTGTGTTTTTATGGAAGCACTGAAACTCACGTGGACGACGATAAATCAGCTGAAAAACGCCACTTGATTTAAATGTGCCTGGAAAATACAAATTTGAGCACATATGCAGGAAGATATTTGTGACTGATCCCAACCTGGTATGCTGGTATGTGGTTACCAATGATAAATGTTCCCTCTAAGCTGTGGAGTCTTGTGAGCAAAAATTCTACCTTGTGAGCTACGGGCATTAAAGCTGTGAGGGAGCGATTGGGCTGCTGCATACATTACCTTGCTCTGGCACCATCCTTCCTGAGCTAAGGCAAAAAATCTGTGAGCCGGAGGCTAAAAAACCTGTGAGATAGCTCACACTAACTCAGCTTAGAGGGAACAGTGCTGCTTGCATCCCAAACTTGTATATTTTATGAATGCTTTTAAGAATTGGCTGTTTACGATAAATGGTTACTCTGACATTGTGGATGCCTTCTTCGAACGAATTTGCAGAACTCTACTTATCAGCCGCTATTCTACATAAAAACTTTTAGGGTAGGATAGATAAGCCTATTTTTTTACTTACTTCCTTTAAACCCCAGCTTTCTCCCCAGATGGAAACCCGAAGGGGTTTAAATCATTCTCCTCTCTTCCATTTTATCCTCGTAACAACAGCAGGTTCAGCTGTGTGGGACTGGCCCAAGGTCACCCGGTGAGTTTCCATTCCAGAGTGGGAGTTTTGATTTGCTGCTCGATTTACTTTATTTCGATCCCGTGTTTCTTCCCAATGGGGCTTACGTTGTTCTCCCTTCCTCCGTTTTATCCTCCCAACAACCCTGTGAGCAGGGCCGGATTTAGACTTGCTGAGGCCCTAAGCTATACAAAAACCAGAGGCCCCCCTACTGTTTTAAATTACATCAGCTGGTCTCAGAAAAATTTAAAATATATACGGCTTTTTAATATTTGAAATAATTTTTATACTGTGTTTTTATTTGAGGCCCCAGCAGACTACGAGGCCCTAAGCTGTAGTTTATTTAGCTTATGCGTAAATCCGGCACTGCCTGTGAGGAAAGTTAGGCTGAGAGTGTGTGACTGGCCCAAAGTCATCCAGCACGTTTCCATGGCAGAAGGAGGATTTGAACCCGGGTTTCCCAGATCCCGGTCCGGCATGTTGACCACTATGCCACACTGTGTCTCCTGTATCCTAGTCTGCTACTCTAACCAGTGCACCACAACAACATTTTCTTTTCCCAGGGATCACAGACAACTGCAAGGTACCTGCTTCCCTTCCTCCTCAGACTGCAAACACGTCTTTTGTGAGCGGAGAGGATGTATGACAAAACACATAAGCTTCTTGTTCAGGTCAGCATTAGTTTGGTGAGCCAGCATTAATTTCGAGAACCAGTTTGGTGTGGTGTGGTGGTTAAGTGCGCGGACTCTAATCTGGGAGAACCGGGTTTGATTCCCCACTCCTCCACTTGCACCTGGCTGGACGACCTTGGGCAAGCCGTAGTTCTGTCAGAGCTGTTCTCTCAGCCCCACCTACCTCACAGGGTGCCTGTCGTGGGGAGGGGAAGGGAAAGGCGTTTGTAAGCCGCTCTGAGACTCCTTTGGGTAGTGAAGGGCGGGGGATAATTCCAATCTCTTCTTCTTCTAGTTACCAAACTAGATAAAGCCTACATACAAGGCAAATGTTCCACTTGCCCAAAGGATGAGCGGACCCCAAATAAATGCAAACAATTAGAAAGTGATCACTGCAGTGACAGAATATACAATTTAGAGATATCCTTTTACATTTAATAGTAGTTAAGGAACTGGTGATTTGTGGGCTCGCTCTAAGGGCCAAACTACATATTACGTTTTGTACACGCTCCCACTGAAAACTGGCAGACATCCTGCAGCTACAAGTCCTCAGTGACTTGGCGTAAAAGTGTTGCAGAGGGTCTGATTTAGATCAGGACCACAGTGCTGGGGGGGGGGGAGGTAAGTTACCAGTGATAACGTTACCTTCACTGGCAGTCTTTAAGCAGCATCTGGACAAACACTTGTCAGGGATGCTCTAGGCTGATCCCTCATTGAGCAGGGGGTCGGACTAGATGGCCTGTCTGGCCCCTTCCAACTCTGTGATTCTATGATTATATCTGGAATGGACTGGTTTAGTCTGTTCAGTCTGTAGGTGGAGCTTCACAAGACTGATGTTCCTTTCTGTACACCATTTCCTGGCACACATTACTGAGCATTTTATACAGCACTTAAGGTGCTTCACATTCATTACTATAATTCTTGCCACACCCCAGCAAGGTAGACCAGTACTGTTATCAGTAAATTGTACAAGGAAGCCTGACATTGAGAGAGCCTACGGACACCAGGATAGCCCAGAGAACCGTAACGAACCAAAATCAAGTGCAGATTTCTCAGTGCCCGGATTTTTTGTCTAGGGGGGGGAGAATTCAATCACATAAATCGCCTACTACAGTCTAGAGGGGTACAGACCAGACACATATTTATATGCTCAGTGGGTTGTACGCTTCAGTCTATACGGGGGAAAAGATGCCCCTCTCTCTTCTATGAGAGCCTGTGATGATAGCAGTTAACTGTAAGAAATGCAAGCTCCCTATCAGATTTCCACGGATGTAAATAATCACTACGCAGAGTCTTCAGGCACAAAAGGACACTCTCAGACCACCCATGGAGCGGTCCATTAAAATGATTTTCTCTGCTGGAATCTCAGCGGAAAGCTAAATGTTTACTTGCCTCATTTTCGGCTGTTTTGCTTTCAAAGAGGTTAAGGGGGGAGAGCAACGTTCAGCGCGCAAAATTCCACTCACTTGCTGGAGACGGCCTGCATGAACTCATCAACCAGGTCGTCGTACTGCTTCCCACGAACCCTCTTGTGTTTCAGACCAATGTACAGCGGATCGTTCAGAAGGGCCTAAAACGGAGCGAGAGAAGAGGAGACGTTCGGTCGCTGCGCATTGTGACAGAAGACGAAAATCCGCACTCTTTGCGTACCCGTTGTTTCCAAGGGTGATCTCAGTTTCAAAGTTTACTTTTTTTTTAGAAGATCCAATCGCTTCTTCCCTCTTGTCCCCCAGGTGTCTGGAAACACAGCATGGGAAGCTACACACGCACAACAGGTCTTCTGGAAATCTACTGGACAAGCATGGCTGGTTGCACTGTGTTTCAAGGCACCTAAGCAATGGGAAGAGTGTTTTGTACCCTGGAACCTGGGTGGATGGGACAGGGCTCAATGAAGAAGAGGAGACTGGATTTATATCCCACTCTTCACTACCTGATGGAGTCTCAGAGCAGCTTACAATCCCTTTCCCTTCCCCTCCCCACAACAGAGACACTGTGAGGCAGGCGGGGCTGAGAGAGCTCTCTCGAGAACTGCCCTTGAGAGAACAGCTCTGAAAGTGCTTGTAACTGACCCAAGGTCACACCAGCAGCTGCATGTGGAGGAGTCGGGAATCAAACCCGGTTCTCCCAGATTAGAGTCTGCGCTCCTAACCACTACACCAAACTGGCTCTCCATTAAATGTTATTCATGACCCAAATCCTCGATCTGACTCACAGTGCATGCAAGCCAGGAGGAATATCATTCCCAAGTGCTGTTGGACTAGTTTCTTCTCCCAAGCTTGGTACTGAGGGAGGAGAGACTTTGGCCTTCTCGATCGATCAATTAAAACATTTATACCCTGCCATTCAAGGCGGCTTATAATAAAAGTTAAAAAAATTCCAGTTAAAACCAGAATAAAACAGCCAATCCCAAATCTTTCTCTCCGTCGTCTCCTTAAAAGATGCCTGCATTCAAACCTCCTCAAAAGCCCCGGTAAACAATCAAGCCTTGTGGCATCCGCTGAAGATCTTCAAGAAAGGAACCACAATGGACAAGGCCTGGGTCCACTCCTAAGTGGTAGGAAAGCCAAGAGATGTTTGCTTGAAGACCATAGTTGGCACAGAGGGACATAAGCAGGGAGATGGTCCTTCCCGCCCACACCATTTTCCAGAGCTGAAACAGCCACGGGGTCCCCATTTGACCCACTCTGTAGTTACAAATGTCCAGGGGTCGTTTCATAGAAAAAGAACTAGGGGAACTCATTAGCATAACTCATTAGCATATGCCACACCCCCTGACATCACCGAAAGTGTTATAAAGCCACACCCCCTGACATCACCGGAAGTGTGTCATAAGGCCACACACCCCACCCCCAACGGTCCCGGCCGGCGGGAGTGCAAGGAAGCCCCGCGAAGGCCCTCCCTGGCCCCAGGCAGGCAGGGGTGGGAAGAGGCGGGGAGGAAGCAACTTACCCTCCCTCTTCTCCTGCCTCCTCCTGGCTGAATGAGGGCTGGAAGTGGGGCGGCCGGAAGCAGGGGGCAGGGCTTCGTCATGTACCCCGCCCCCCGTACCTCACCCGGGGGAACTGCGACCCCCTGCGATCCTCCCCGAAATGACCTCTGCACATGTCAGTCAGTACATGTGGTGCCCCAGAGCAGGGCAAACACCCCCTCCGGGGGCTGTTTCGGCTTGGGAAAAGGGCGCAGGAGGGAAAGTGGAAGCCCTCCCTCCCTCCCTCCACTATACTCATGAGCAGAAACTGACTCCATAGAGAACGATGGTTTGTGGGCATTACATACCCTTCGAGTTGGGAGGCCGAGCCCTGAACAGTGCTCCCTCTAAGCTGAGTTAGTGTGAGCTAGCTCATGGTGTTTTAGCCTCTGGCTCACAGATTTTTGTCTTCGCATAGGAAGGATAGGTAAAGGTTCCCTTGCTCGAAAGCCAGTCGAATCTGACTCTAGGGTTGCGGTGCTCATCTCCGTTTCAAAGCCAAAGAGCCAGCACTGTCTGAAGACGTTTCCGTGGTCATGTGGCCATCATGACTAAAAAAATAAAAATAAAAATGTGGCCATCATGACTAGACGCTGAGGCGCACGGAACGCTGTTACCTTCCCACTGAAGTGGTACCTACTGTGTTTCCCCGAAAATAAGACACTGTCTTATATTTTATTTTTTCTCAAGAAGACACACTAGGGCTTATACCACAAATGCATAGAAATCCTGCTAGGGCTTATTTTTGGGGTAGGTCTTATTTTCGGGAAAACAGGGTATTTATATACTTGCAATTTCTTGCTTACAAACTGCTAGGTTGGCAGGAGCTGGAACTAGAGACGGGAGCTCACTCCGTCATGCGGCACCTGGGTCTCGAACTGCCGAACTACCGACCTTCCACAGCCTGCAGTTCAGCGTCTTAACCACTTGAGCTACCGCAGCTCCTGGCGTGATCTGGTCCATGGGGCTGCAAAGAGTCGGACTCGACTGTGCGACTGAACAACAACAAATAGGAAGGATGGCTCCAAAGCAAACTAATTTCTGCAGTAGCCCAATCGCTCGCTTACAACTTTAATGCCAGTCGCCCCAAAGTAGGACTTTTGCTCACAAGACTCCACAGCTTAGAGGGAACGTTGGCCCTGACCTGACTCAGGTCATGCATGATCTTTAGCTGAGCCCGCAGATGAGACGCTGGTGTCAGAGGTGGCCCCAAAATCTACCCCCTGAGGCCCCCATATCACCTCGCCTCATTATAAAACTGGTGCTGCTGCAGACAGTGTTTCTTCCTAATGCATAGAGCTGCTCTCCAAATCCCCAAATCAATTGTTAAAAAGGCTTCAAAGAGATGTCAGGTTTGGAGTGCTGTCGTTTGATGGGGAGGGGGGGGCAACCAATCCCCAAAAATTCCATTTTACAAGCTGCCGCGTTTCGACCTTGCCCTGCCGTTCCCAGCTGTGCGCCCCTAGCCTCAGCCGGCTTACAAATGGTTTTCCCACCCAGCCACTGTGCCGACGGCAAACTGGAGCGGCAGACCTTTTCCGATGACTCACGGGGAAAGTCTGCCTTCGAAAGTGCCAGTCTAGCCTAGTGGGAAACTGGCTGCTGGCTCCCTGCGACGGAAATTTAAGCAGGTGTGTTGACTGGCCGGATGACTAATCGGCCTTGACGAGCGAGTGGAAAAAGATCCCGTTCTCACCCTGGGAGGAGGCGGTTGGTTGCTGAATCCCTTGGATGGAAGGCAAAGGGCACGAGGGCATCCTAACTGGTGAGTGACCTATTGTCCCGCAACGTTTCCAAAGTTGTCCGGTTGCCACGTACCCGCGACATTTCATCCCATTGTTTCTTTTTCCAAAACTGGAGGGACACAGCTGTGTTCCCCCACCGGGAAGGGGATTCCCTGGACTGTGACTCAAGCTTCTCTCTATTGTGCCCACGGTGTTTTGCAGAGCAACATTTTTGGCACAGGCAAAGGAAGGAATTTGCGGTCCCCTGCCTCCCCCGGGTGAAATGTGAAGTGTAGCTAACTAGTTGTCTCTCATATGATCCCTAGGTGGTTTCCTGGTTTACTTCTATGGCTTGTCAAACCTCACTGTTAAGATTTAGACTGGACATTGAGAAGAAATTTCTAATTGTTACAGAAAGCCAAAATTAAATGTACACCCCAAGGGTACATCTAATCCCGAGGAAAGGGTTTTTGGCTCCTGAAAGCTTATACCCTGGAAATCTTGTTGGTCTTTATGGTGCGGCTGGACTTGAACCTTGCTATTCTAATGGTTTTGATATAGAAAAAGTGTTGGGTATGACAAGTGGAAAACACTCAGTATCTCTGGGGTTAAATGTTTGTTTATGTTACTCACAGGAAGTCACCATGTTTCTCATGTAACCAATGTTCTTTCGATGTAGAATGCCCGGGAATTTTCTCCCTGATCTAGGAATTTGATTGGGACTAAAGTGTCAAGGTGTATTACCATTTTATGGCTTCTCTTCCCGTCTTTGTTTGGTGTTCTGAAGAACAAGAAGAGCAGCCATACTCTCTCTCTTCTAGTTTTGTCTTTGTAGAGTAAGGATGTAGCCGATTTTGCTCTGTTGTTATTTTCATCCCAGTTACCCTTCCCCATGCTAGAATTTAGTAAAAACTTTATATTTTAATCACACATGGACTCTCAGTCTGAATTATTTTACTCTGGCACTGCTGGACTATCTTATCTCTGCTAAATACAATTTTTTCAATATCTCACTATCACCCAACAAAAAGAAGAAGAGGAGATTGGATTTATACCCCGCCCTTCAGTACCCGAAGGAGTCTCAGAGCGGCTTACAAACTCCTTTCCCTTCCCCTCCCCACAACAGACACCCTGTGAGGTAGGTGGGGCTGAGAGAGCTCTGACAGAAACTGCTCTTTTTCAAGGACAGCTCTTGTCAGAACTATGGCTTGCCCAAGGTCATCCAGCAGGTGCGAGTGGAGGAGTGGGGAATCAAACCTGGTTCTCCCAGATTAAAGTCCATGCTTCCAACCACTACACCAAACTGGTCTGATTTAGAAATCTGGGGCCTTCATTATGATTTTTTTTAAACTCTTCCTTGGGAAGCCCAGAGATCTTACACCAGACGTCCACTGATCTCAACTAGGCACAGGTTAGGTCTTCAACGTGCTTAGTGTAAGCACAGAAGAAGGACAGTGCTGGATCCAGACTAATGGTCTATCTAGTCCAGCGTTCTGCTTCCTAGAAGGACCACACACATGGCCCCAGATGGCCTCCAAGCAAAGGAGGAGAGCGATGAGGATGATCGGGGGCCTGGAGACCAAGAAGCCCTGTGAGGAAAGGCTGAGGGGCTTGGGGATGGTCAGTCTGGAGAAGAGGAGGTGGAGGGGGGACAGGACGGCTCTCTTGAAGTATCTGAAGGGCTGTCCCTTAGAGGAGGAGGGCAGGGAGCTGTTCCTGTTGGCAGCAGAGGAGAGGACTCGCGATAATGGGTTTAAATTAAGGGCGGGAAGGTACCGGCTGGATCCTAGGAAAAACTTTTTTACAGTCAGAGTTGTGCAACAGTGGAATCGGCTGCCTCGGGAGGTGGTGAGCTCCCCCTCGCTAGCAATCTGTAAG